TTAAAAAATTCAACAGCGTCGTATATTAAATAACGGCTGGGTACGGCGGTAGTGGTGCCGGCGTTGGCGCGACGGCCGTGTGCTCGGAAGGTGGCGCAGGCGTCGGCGCGGCGACCAGGAAGCCGAGAAGGGTGGTGGTGACACCGGCGCAAATGTGCCTGGAGCAGGTAATGATGGTAGTGCAAAGGGAGCTGGCGGTGGTGGGTCATCTTCCTTGTTGCTGATGGGCACCCTTGCCCTTCTTGGAGCTCCTCTCCCTTCTTCGTGGGGGAGTTTCTAGGTTGGATCGAGGCGGCAGTTGGTTAACGAGGGAAGCTTTGGCCACCCACGCGACGCTGTCAAGTCCGGGTTCTCCTTTTGGCAAAAATGACGAGGAGGCCAGCAGGTGGTGGGATGAAGGAGGCATGGGCCAGCTTCTAGGGTGGCAGCAGGGAACAACAAGTGTGGAAGTCAGCCGGTGATGGGGCACCGGTGACATGGGGTGGAGGCCTCATGTTGCCACTGCCTGTGTGGTGGTTTCTGAGTTCATGGGTGACGAATTTCATGCAGGGTTGCAGGGTTCTAGGCGAAAGCCTTGCGTGATGGTTCATCGGGCTGGCAGCGGCTACACCTTCTGGCATCGTAACCCCCCTTGGGGCCTTGTCGAGGATACCTCTCTCCCTTGGCGAGTTGCTCTGGGTGAAAACCATATCTCCCATAGATGGATGATGGCGGTGTCCTTGATGTTGTGACCTCCGTGGCAGCATCGTCTTCAGAGTCTCATCTTGTGGTGTTGTCGTATGCCCAGTGGCGATCGGCCATGCATAGCGGGGGTCGTTTTAGTGCTAGGTTCCTCTCTCAGTGGGTTGTGCTTGTGTGGTTAGCATGTGGTTTTTGGTCGTGCACTTTCAACCTCGATAGTTTTCTATCGCTTTTTCTTGTAACTTTATTCTTTTTAATATATTCGGATGGCCTCCTCTGGCCTCTCCGGCGAAAAAAAAATAACGGAGGGAGTATAATGTAGCGTCGAGGAATAATTAACCACTTGTGCGATGTTCCAAATCAAACAAAATGGGAAGGTATATCTCTCTAAGTGTGTGGAGGCCATGAAAATTGAACAGTATAGGCCTATATGCTTACTTAACGTTAGTTTTAAAATTTTTTACCAAGGTTGCTACAAATAGAATAATTGGCGTTGCTCAAAAAGTAATTAGTCCTACTCAAACTGCTTTTATTCCTGAGAGAAATATTATGGAAGGGGTTGTTATTCTCGATGAAACTATTCATGAAATGCATCGTAAAAATAAAAGTGGGGTAATATTTAAGATTGATTTTGAGAAAGCCTATGATAAGGTTAAATGGTCTTTTGTTCAACAAACGTTGAGAATGAAGGGCTTTTCTCCTAAATGGTGTCAATGGATAGTTTCTTTTGTTCAGGGTGGTCATGTTGATATTAAAGTAAATGATCAAATTGGGAATAATTTTCAAACTTACAAAGGCCTCAAGCAAGGGGATCCTTTGTCTCCTATTCTCTTTAACATAGTGGCTGATATGCTAGCTCTACTAATTAAGAGGGCTAAAGATGTTGGTACCATTAATGGGGTAATTCCACATTTGGTGGATGATGGTTTATCTATTTTGCAATATGCTGATGATACCATCATCTTTTCGGAGCACGATTTACAACAAGCCAAGAATCTGAAATTGATTTTATCTGTGTTTGAAAAGTTGTCTAGCTTGAAAATAAATTTTAATAAAAGTGAATTATTTTGTTTTGGCCAGGCAAAGGACTTTTATGAACAATATTCTACTATCTTTGGTTGTAAGTTAGGTACTTTTCCAGTTAGATATCTTGGTATTCCAATGCATTTTAGAAAGCTTAGTAACAAAGATTGGAAAGTTATTGAACAAAGAATTGAGAAGAAACTTAGTAGTTGGAAGGGAAAACATATGTCTATTGGGGGTAGACTGGTTTTGATTAATTCTGTTCTTTCTAGTTTAGCTATGTTTATGATATCTTTTTTTAGATTCTAAAAGGGGTTCTTCAAAAAATTGATTATTATATATCAACATTCTTTTGGCAAGGGGATGATCATAAGAAAAAGTACAGACTTACAAGATGGGATATTATTTGCCAACCCAAAGATCAGGGTGGTTTGGGTGTCCATAATTTAGAAATACAAAATAAATGCCTTTTGAGTAAATGGTTGTTTAAATTAATAAATGAGTAAGGGGTTTGGCAAGACTTATTAAAAACAAAGTATCTTTATAATCAGTCTATTACCCAAGTTGATAGGAAACAAGGTGATTCTCATTTTTTGTTAGGTCTTATGAAAGTTAAGAATACTTTCTTAAACATGGGTTCCTGGATTCTGAATAATAGGGAACAAGTTAGATTCTGGGAAGATAAATGGCTAGGTAACTTGACGTTTAAAGGTAGGTATCCATCTCTCTATGCTATTGTTCGAAGGAAAAGTTCTTCAGTTGCTAATGTTACGAGACCTGTTCCGCTAAATGTTTCTTTTATGAGGGCTTTAGTTGGTCAGAATCTAGCAAAGTGGTATGAATTGTGGGCTTCTATTGTACATATTGAGTTGAATCAACAGAGTGATTGTTTTAGATGGAACTATCATCAGAATGGCCAATTTTCTGTCCGGTCAATGTATCTGGCTTTAATAAACAATGGTTATATTGAGAGAAATAAGATTATTTGGAAGTCTAAGATGCCTCTGAAGATTAAGATCTTTGTGTGGTACTTGCTTAAAGGGGTAGTATTAACTAAAGATAATTTGGCAAGGAGGAACTGGAATGGAAGTTTGAAATGTTGTTTCTGTATGAAGAATGAAACTATTCAACATCTTTTTATGGAATGCCATTTTGCAAAGTTTATTTGGAGAGCTGTATAGTTCTCTTTTGGTCTTTACCCTCCTAATTGCATATCTCATATTTTTGATGATTGGCTTCTGGGGGTGGACAAGAAAAATAGGAAACTTATTCTCATAGGAGCTTCTGTTATATGTTGCGCTCTATGGTTGAGTAGGAATGATATGATTTTTGATAAATCACCATCTGTTTCATATATGCATGTAATTTTCAGGGCAACGCACTGACTTAGGTCTTGGTCACTGCTACAAAAGTGTGGATGTTGGTACCATTAATGGGGTAATTCCACATTTATAACAAGCCAAGAATCTGAAATTGATTTTATCTGTGTTTGAAAAGTTGTCTGGCTTGAAAATAAATTTTAATAAAAGTGAATTATTTTGTTTTGGCCAGGCAAAGGACTTTTATGAATAATATTCTACTATCTTTGGTTGTAAGTTAGGTACTTTTCCAGTTAGATATCTTGGTATTCTAATGCATTTTAGAAAGCTTAGTAACAAAGATTGGAAAGTTATTGAACAAAGAATTGAGAAGAAACTTAGTAGTTGGAAGGGAAAACATATGTCTGTTAGGGGTAGACTGGTTTTGATTAATTCTGTTCTTTCTAGTTTAGCTATGTTTATGATATCTTTTTTTAGATTCCAAAAGGGGTTCTTCAAAAAATTGATTATTATAGATCAACATTCTTTTGGCAAGGGGATGATCATAAGAAAAAGTACAGACTTACAAGATGGGATATTATTTGCCAACCCAAAGATCAGGGTAGTTTGGGTGTCCATAATTTAGAAATACAAAATAAATACCTTTTGACTAAATGGTTGTTTAAATTAATAAATGAGTAAGGGGTTTGGCAAGACTTATTAAAAACAAAGTATCTTTATAATCAGTCTATTACCCAAGTTGATAGGAAACAAGGTGATTCTTATTTTTTGTTAGGTCTTATGAAAGTTAAGAATACTTTCTTAAACATGGGTTCCTGGATTCTGAATAATAGGGAACAAGTTAGATTCTGGGAAGATAAATGGCTAGATAACTTAGTGTTTAAAGGTAGGTATCCATCTCTCTATGCTATTGTTCGAAGGAAAAGTTCTTCAGTTGCTAATGTTACGAGACCTGTTCCGCTAAATGTTTCTTTTATGAGGGCTTTAGTTGGTCAGAATCTAGCAAAGTGGTATGAATTGTGGGCTTCTATTGTACATATTGAGTTGAATCAACAGAGTGATTGTTTTAGATGGAACTATCATCAGAATGGCCAATTTTCTGTCCGGTCAATGTATCTGGCTTTAATAAACAATGGTTATATTGAGAGAAATAAGATTATTTGGAAGTCTAAGATGCCTCTGAAGATTAAGATCTTTGTGTGGTACTTGCTTAAAGGGGTAGTATTAACTAAAGATAATTTGGCAAGGAGGAACTGGAATGGAAGTTTGAGATGTTGTTTCTGTATGAAGAATGAAACTATTCAACATCTTTTTATGGAATGTCATTTTGCAAAGTTTATTTGGAGAGCTGTATAGTTCTCTTTTGGTCTTTACCCTCCTAATTGCATATCTCATATTTTTTATGATTGGCTTCTGGGGGTAGACAAGAAAAATAGGAAACTTATTCTCATAGGAGCTTCTGTTATATATTGGGCTCTATGGTTGAGTAGGAATGATATGATTTTTGACAAATCACCATCTGTTTCATATATGCATGTAATTTTCAGGGCAACGCACTGGCTCAGGTCTTGGGTACTGCTACAAAAGTGTGATGAAGAGGGCGAGCGTTTAAAAGTTGCATGTCGTAATCTTGAGGCAACGGTTATGCAACTGTTTACCAATTTTGGATGGAGATTCACAAACAGAATTCAATAATTGTGTACTCCTTATCTTGGGTTGGTAGGTGTCTTCTTTTTTGTGTGAGAAACTTTTCATTTTGTGTACTACTCTGTAATAATTGGCTGTAACTTGTTGAGTAAAGGTCAGGATATTCTATTTTATTATCTAAAAAAATATCTCTCTAAGTAAAACACGAATTAAACAAGTTTTACGGCCTTTATTTTGCGCTCGCAATACTGCTATCGATCTGCAACACAGTACGGCATGCTCTCAGCGGTTCAGGAATAATTCTGGTATGCATGCAACACGATAGACCATGCCTTCAGTTATTCGGAATTTTGGTGGTTTTTTTATATGAAAGCGGCAAGAGTATTGTCGAATATATTAGAAGGCAGAAAAATATAATACAAGCATTACACATTGTCTATTACAATTTTGGCAAGGACATGCAATTTAGGAATTTTGGTGTTGATCTGTAGCACGCTGTTTCTGAATGATCACGCTTACTCCCAGTTTGGTCTGAATGCGGATCTCTCAGCGCGGTAAATTTCCTTGAATTTCATCAGGCTGGATAGTTCAACCAGGAAGTTCTGGAATGGCTCCCCATTGTCAGGACTCATAATCATACCATGGAAAGCCAATGTGATCCGTCGGAGTGATGTGGCTGACCTAAGTAGGCTTCTCAAAAACACAAATTCAATCTTTGTTCGATTCCTCTCATGCTTTTGATTGTTATGTCCACAAGAAAATTCAGCTGGATATCTTCAGTTCTCCACAGATGCAATCAAATGGGCAATCAATAATCTTAGCCTGAAATGAGGATAATATGTAAAGACTAGGTTGAAATGGCGGTCAGGCCGAAATGAAAGATTAAGAGAAGTAGAAATGTGAGTTAGAGATAAATTGCTAGAGTATAATTTGACCATTAAACTTATGAACAAAAAATGCAGAATGGTTTCGTCATCCTTGGGGAAACCTCATATTAGGAAAAACAAATTTACCTCCGGGTCACCACTTATTGCCAACTCCAGCCTACTTATTCTTGTACACACATCTTGAGCAGATAAAATACACATGATCCAAAGGCATGCCCTTGCAACATAATTTCTAGGGTCAGGGTCTCAATATCGGGAAGAAAGCCAATCATCTCCATCAGGTTTTTATTAATAATTCAGCAACACATGCAGCCTTTGGATTTGATGAATTTCGGGAGGATTTTTTTTACAAAGATTGAATTAATTCATGAGAAAATAGTGTAAAATTTCATAGGATTTTCATCGACATTAGTTCGATTCTCACAGAACAAACACTGAAAATTCCTCCATTCATTCCAAAGAAGGTTTTATTCTGGGATAAGGGAGAACAAGCGTCCATGGCATCAGCCACACAAAGAAGTTTAATGGCAAAAATGGGGGTAAAAAATAATTGGATGTTTAGCAGAAGCGAACAATTCCCATTCAACACACCATCTGAAAAACGGAGTTGTTGTCAACTGTAGCATAGGAAGAGTCCTAGACAGATGCTGAAAAAACCAAAAACTTGGGTTTTGTTTCCCCCTCCATTGGCCTATCCAGCGATCAAAATTGAGCTATGGAAAAAAATGCTCACCTATACTGTCCGCGCGAGGGAGGCGTGGGAGGGGCAGCGAGCAGCGAGCTATCGGCCGCGTTCATGGATAAGGTTGAGGCCTTGTCTCTCTCTGATGGGCTGCGCAATATGGCTCAACGAAGAAGCTGGGCCCAGGTACTGCTTGGTGCTTGCGTACGTTCCAACATTGCTGATTTGCTGTGAATTGGATGATCAAACGGCTACAATTATATAATTAGGATTTAATCCAATGGCTAACAATTTCTTAATGACGTGGCTTAACTAATCAAACTTGGTTAAGTTTAACAAAATTTAAAAAAAAAATTAGTAACATCTAAAATATCAAATTAGTTTCGTTAAATCTAACATTGAATATATTTTGATAATATATTTGTTTTATATTAAAAATACTATTATATATCTTTATAAGCTTAATCAAACTTAAATAAATTTGATTAGGAAAAAATATCAAGCGACTTATAATATAAAACAAAGCGACTTATAATATAAAACAAAGGGAGTATTGGTGTAGCATTTGTACGATAGATAACAAATTGCCATACATACAACGACAAGGAAAACCTAACCAGTGCAAAAAAAAAAACTCATTTTAATTGTAACAAACCTAAGGGCCACTTGGCAACTTGATCATCTTCCATGCTTCCCGAACTACAAATTAATATGTTTTCTTTATAAATTTGTATATAAAAGTTTCATAATAAATCAAATAAACTTATTTTCCATGTTTGTAGCAGCTAATATGCTAATAATAAATTATCTCCTTTTACATAACAGCTATCGCTGGCCTTTTTAAGGGTGCGCTCGTTCCCGCGGGCGACCGCTCCTGTCACCTCGTTTTTCACGCGCATGCTTCCCAAACTGTTAAACGGTGTATTTTTTAAAAAAAATTATATATAAAAGTTGCTTAAAAATTCATATTGATCCATTTTTTTAAAAAAAAGATTAGCTAATACTTAATTAATCACGCGCTAATGGCCTGCTCTGTTTTTCGTGCCGGAGGGATTATTCCTCGTCCCTCACTCTCGATCAGGGCCCAAGTCTAACGTTTCATAGTTTTGGGTTAATTAAATTATACAGTTTGCTAGTGTTGAAAAATAACATTACTACTTCTTTATTTACAACCATGCCACTGCAACACTTTTGAAATTAGATCCATGCCATGTTGTGCACTTGATATACATTCTTAATCGTTTTATGTGTACTATATTTCCGTATTGACCTAAGTACCCCTCCTAGAACTCAAGCACCGGTTAAATTTCGGTAAAAAAAATTTATACATACACATGAAAAAAAAGTATAACAATTTTAGAAAAGTAAAATATGAAGAATAAAAATAAAGAAATGGTGGTGGGGTGGTTGCCGTTGCCATCCACGACGACCGCCCGAGCTGGCCAGCTCGTCTCCTTCGTCATCAGCACGGGCAACGTCGCAGCTAAGCTTGTCATCGCCACCAAAACCGCACGTCGTAACTCAGCTCATTGCCCACCTCTAGATACGCCAGACCCAACGTCGCCGTTGTTGGACCGCATGACGCAGCTCAGCTCATTGCTGCCCGCTAGACCTAGCGGACGCCAGACCCAACATCGCCGCTGCTAGATCTACAGAACACCTAGACCTTGCCGCCGTCACCACTAGATCTCCTCGTGTTGAGCTCGCAACAGATGGCACCGCCATGGGCAGCGTCGCAGCTGCCGCTGGACCATCTGTCCTTGTACTGCGCCCGTAGCATACCACCCCATCATCGCTACCGCCGATTTCTCCACCGCTATCGGGTCGCACGTCACTGCTGGACTAACCATCCCCGACGTTGCGGCCCATCGTGCCGTTGTGCTCAGCACTCCGGCATAAGGTAAAAGAGAATCGGCATAGGTATTTTAGTCTATAAAAAATATAGTACACCTAAAACGATTCAAAATGTATGTTAATTGTAGAGCATGGCATGGATCTAAATTTGAGAGTATTATATTGGTATGGTTACGAATTAAGGAATAACAACGATATTTTTCAAAACTAGCAAAAATGGCATGATCCAATTAAATCTTGTTTATTTAGGTATTCCTCACTCCTAATTACTAAATATTCCACCTCAGCAATCTTCTCAACGTGACAGTGCAACTGAGATTTTTCTAGAATTTACTCCGCCAAAAACCAAAAACCAAATCCCTTTTTCCATATTTAAAAAGAAAAGAAAAGAAAAGAAAAGAAAACGAGAGCCAACACGGTGCATCTCTCAGCCACACAGCCCCACCCGCGCCATGTCACTCGCCACCGCCGCCGCCGGAGCGCAACCGTTCGTCCGCTCCTCCTCCTCCGCCGCCGCGGCGTCCTCGTCGCGGCCCCTGCTCGCCGTCGCCGCCGCCCGCCACCGCCGCCCGCATGGATCTCTCGCCGCCGCCGCCGCCGCGGCAAGGCGGCGTCGTCGTCGTCCGCTCCTCCAGGTGCGCGCGGCAAGGACGGAGTCCACGGGCGTCTCCGTCGGGTTCCGCGCGCCCCAGTTCGAGGTGCTTCCCTCCGCCGGAGTTTTAAGTTTGTCTCGGGGAAGGTTTCATCGGACGGGATTTGGGCGTGGGCGTTGATTGATTTCGAGGTTTTTTCTTGGCGTGCAGCTCCCGGAGCCACTGACGGGGAAGCTCTGGACATTGGATGACTTCGAAGGCAACCCCGCGCTGCTGGTCAGTGATTGGTTCTAGGTTGCTTCGTGCTTGAATTCAATTCTGCATTTATTTATTTTTTAGGAAAGAAAAAAACCAGGTTCAGTTAATTTCACTCTAAACTGGAGAACTGAATAGAAATGAGTTTATCCATGCTATATGCTTAACTACATTTCGTCGATTTTGCCACTCCCATTTCCCCATGAAACTCAATGAAATATTGAAATGCTAATATGCTTTCTCATTTTCCCATTAGCTATACGCTTACACTTACAACTGTTTGGATTGTCCCACACCTGGTCAATAGTAGTGGCTTTGTGCTTGGATTAGTTATGAGCCGTCTATCTAGTCATTTATGTGGAAAAACTGTTAGGTCTTGTAGGTATTACAGCCTCTTTATGAATGAAACAGATCAAAAATTCAAGATGTGGCTTATGACTTTGATGGAAGAACATTACCAGTTTATTATCTCCATTTTGTCAAATTAGTCCTTGAGTTCCCTCTGAATTTCTTTGCCAAATTGCAAGTCTTAATAAGTGCTGAATGATATTTATGTCAGCATGTATCTTTATCTCTTCAAGAAGTAGCTATCAGCTCTTGACATATTGATTTTGTTTTGTTGGGAAACTCGTAGTCTGTATTTAAGAAGAGAAAGGAGGGGATGTAGGCAATTGAGCAATCGATCAGCCACTGCATAGATTATCTACATCTTATATGATTATTTTCCTCCTTTCAGGTTATGTTTGTATGTAATCACTGTCCATTCGTAAAGCATCTCAAAAAAGATATTGCGAAGCTCACCTCATTCTACATGGAGGTATGGACTCTAGAATGGGTAGTGAGCTTTTCCCTTTAACTTGTGTGTTTGTATTGACATCTCGATACAATGCAGAAAGGGCTTGCTGCTGTTGCCATATCCTCGAACTCAATTGTGACACACCCACAGGTTGAGTTACAACCAATGAACTGTATACCTTTTATTTTGGTCTTCTGCATGCTTATGAATCTTAAGTAACCAGAAGTTCTCTTGTTGAGAGCTTAATGGATTTTGTTATAAAATATTTTATTTGAATGTAGTAGCAGTTGTGGAAGTCCTGAAATTATATTGAAACGAAATAAAATACAAAAAAATTATAAAGATACAGATGATCATGAAATTTAAACCACATACTCTATAGTAATATAGAAGCTACTAAAAATTGTTTAAAACTTTTAAATAGCAGATTTAATTCAAATTGTTACCCTATCTAATTTTTTTAGGAAATCAACCGTCGTCTGAGTAACTATTGCTTTTAGCCACACGCCCAACCAAGTCTGGCAAAGAAAACATTTCCCATCTCTGCCTGTTTGGTGGAATTTTCGTTTTAAGTTGTACCTTAACACAGATATGTATGCTGGAGAAGCATCGAATTTTAGGATTTGTCCTGCAGGGTATAAAATACAATGGCTATAGATAATTAGATAGCCATTTAGCTGCTGGTTATATTATATGTAAGCTGACAAGCTTATAGGCTATCCGATAAGATGTCATGAGTTTCTCTTGGTGTATGAGAAAAATACTTCTTGAGTTACTGTAGTATAGGATTAGGCAACAATTCCTTCCTATCAGTGATCCATGGATATGGAAACTAGTTGTTTTATGTTCTTCTGTTCCATGTGATCTATGTGATACTTGTCAGATTTTTCCATTTTAACACAAGTTCATCTGATTTTGTAGGATGGTCCTGATTACATAGCTGAGGAAGCAAAATTGTATAAATACTCTTTCCCGTATCTATATGATGAGGTTTGACCACATTATTCCCTTCAATTGTATGGCTATTTGTCCAGACACAGCGGCCATGCTTTCTCTATTTAACTCATTTGTCCTACTGCAACCTGCAGTCTCAAGAAGTTGCTAAAGCTTTTCGAGCCGTCTGCACGCCAGAGTTTTACTTGTTCAAAAAGGTAACATCATCTATGCTTATGCCTAGAATCATGAATTCATGATGCTGCTATGTCCAATGTCTAGGATGCTAACACGTTGTTCCTGAAAGAAATTTAATGCAACGCCATGCAAAATACTTGAACTGCTGCAATAACTTGCAAGTTGCATGCTAACCACGGCTAGACAATCCATGTTAGCTAATTAGAGTGTCTCAGCACTGACTGGGACACCAACTGAGCAAGGGTACAACGAGGTATCATTTGATTGTTGTTCTGTTTTTATGATACAAATTGTTTACTGCATTTGTAGCTCCTGACAGTGAGCAGATCACCATTGAAATACATCATGCAGCAACTCAGGGACTTCAATGGGAAAATAAAATCAGGAAGCATTTTTCTGGAAAAGAAATCTAGCAGCCTAGCCTACCCCCTGCAGCCTTGTGACTTGGGTTTCCTATTCAGGACTGAAACACTCTAATTAGCTAATGTGGACTATTGTGCTGGTCCATATGCTGCCCAAGTTATGTCGGTTCTCATCTTGCAAGTTGTACTGAATTACACTAACCTCACAAATTTGCACACTACGAGCGTAATCTACTATTATTCTATCTAATCATTTTGGTTTCCCGGTGCCAGGATGGACGAAGGCCATTTGAGCTTTTCTACCATGGGCAGTTTGACGATTCAAGACCGAGTAACAACGTGCCAGTTACCGGAAGGTATGTTTTCTAACATCTTGAACAAAATTTCCAGTTCACCCTCCCCTGTGCTTATTTGGTATCTTATTTGTAGGGATTTAAGTCGTGCGATTGATTGTGCACTTAGTGGACAAGAGCTACCTTTTGTGCCAAAACCCAGGTTTCCTTTAGTTCCTAGAGAATCTGTGTTGCTTTAATCACCATGTATGTCACTTCACTTTATCATTTACTTGCATTTGCTTCTTGTTCCTATAGTGTCGGGTGCAGCATCAAATGGCACCCATGAAGAGCGTATTGCATTGTCATGTGCTGGAATATAGATGTTTTTCCCCCTTAAATTGAAGGTTGAACATGGGGATTGAGGTGAGCCATGCTCTCTACTACTAGAAGTATGGAAGCACACACATAGTAGATTTATGATAGCTAATTTCACATAGTAGATTTATGATAGCTAATTTATAATGTAATTTTTAAGGGAAATAGATGCAGTTGAGGCCTTGTGGAGCTGATTCTTAACGTTGTGGGGGCTGTTCAACTTGAGAGTTGCAAAACTAGACATGAATGGCGTGGATAGTGTTATGTTGTGTGCTGGTGTCTCATCTTGGCCGGAAAAAGAAAAACTGATGGATGTAACTGGTATTTGTGCAACAATGGGATAATGCACACAAGTACAATAACCCATTATTATGGCTAACACAACACCCACGGGTGAAAATTAAAGATGAGGGCTATCGAGTTCTCCTCCCCACTGCTTCCATTTGTATCCATGTCTCGGCTCGCCTATGGACGCTGCTTAGCTCTGGATAGCATTGGCGGATCTAGAGGGTGATCCCAACTCCAGAGGCATTCGCACGGTACGCTGGGCGACTGGGCGTCCAGCAACCGTGCTGAACAAAGAAGAGATGGAGAGCACTGCACAGCAGAGATAGCTCCCAGCCCAGCAACCGCCTGAAAGACGTCTTGTTGATAACCGAAGGAGAGCACGGAATAAGGATGTGTTTAGTTCCACGCTAAAATTAGAAGTTTGACTAAAATTGAAAGTTTGAAGAAAAAAGTTGAAAGTTTATTTGTGTAGTGAAGTTTTGATGTGATGGAAAAGTTGAAAGTTTAAAGAAAAAGTTAGGAACTAAACAAGGGCTAAAGCAGAGTCTATGCACTTTCTACTGCATGCACTGCAGTAGAACACCTTGGGCGTCCGCTGGTTAGACGCGTGTCTACCATGCATACAAAACCACTCTTTACGTTCTGCTGGTTTAAATGTCCCAAGTGCTACCATATGAATCTATAGATTATATCACAAGTCTACAACGGCTCTATGCAATTTTGAGGCATTCTGCCTTTGCTTCTTTGTAGGGGGTTTGCTTGGCTGCATGCAACTAGGCATTCGAGTTTTTCCATGTTTTCCTGCCTAATGGATCTTCCCCATTTCCACGAAACAAAAATAGAGTAAAAAATTGTTTCTCTGGAGTCTGGATAATGGAGAATACACAGTGAAATGAAAAAAAAAAGATCTTCCATCTTTCTTATTTCCATAAAACAAAAATATTTGTTTCTTCAGTGTGAAAGAAAAATTCTACGTGCGTTGTTGTCATTTCTCTGTTTGGTTGGCCTCACTAGATAGATGCTGGAGTGTTGATCAGTTGCCCGCTTTATGATCAAGAGGAGACCTTACCTAATACCAATGAACTTATGCAGAATATTAGGGATGGGACAAATTATGGTGTTTGGTGGAGCAAAGGTCCTCTTAATTTTTATCCATAAGTTTGTTTCGCAGGTTATTGTTTTCCTTTCTTCTAGTCTTTGTTTGTTATGTTTAACCATGCATGGTCCTGAAGGGCTTGGACGAGTCTTCTCTAGTGCGTAACTCTCCTACACGTTGGAGAAAAAGAAAACGATATAAACAAGTACACAGTGATCAAACGAAATTATATCACTACACAGTGATAAAAAATATAAACAAGTACACAGTGATCAAATTAACAATTCTATATTTCGATCAAACGATATTCAATCACGACGACCGCATTTGAACCAATTTCTGGTCTCATGGCCGGAAGACTTTTTTATCTACACCCTGTTCTATTATGGTTTAACAGTGTAGTGTGGTTGGCGCTGCTGCTGTTTTGTTGCAGCGAGCATAATATATGGCTAGCTTACATCTCTACTATGCATATCACATCTATTATGCAATACTCTGATTATACAATCAGGGCCAGTTTGGTTTGGTACCATACCAAAATTTTAATTTTAGTAGTGCCAAAGTTTGGGTAACTTTTGGCACTACCAAATTTAGATGGTCAAAAATTTTCTATCTAAAGAGATATGTTGTTAAAATTTGGCACCAATCTAAACAACTAGAAACACTATTGAAAATTGCCAATGAATTGGTAGGGCTATTTGGAACCAAACCAAACTAGCCCTCAATCTTTTTAACTGTACAAATATTTTTTTGGTAGGCCAAGGAATGCCATGAATATATTATGCTTAGAATTCTTATCTGTAATAAGCGATTTTTCTCCTGTCCTTGTACCTACTTACTGTTTGAGAAGTAAAAGAATTAAACCGGTTGAAGCTTTTTCTATGTCCTTAGGGTACCTGCAGACTTGATTCGACTATTGTGGTTGAACAAAAGTTTGGTTCAGTAGCTACAATGTTTCACTTCGATTGTATGGCCCACATAAAAAAAATTCTCTCAATCACATGCATCCATTTTTTAGTCGCTAAGTTCGACTCATATTTTTTGTCGATTTTTTGCTCTGAGACATATCAGTTGATTGTCGCAATATGTTGTCTTCGGTCTTTTAGAGTACAGTTCCATTTTACTCACACTGGAGATGGTCTTAAGAGATATGCATACATCATAGTATTAGTAAGGTGAATTCGGATTAGGTGCAGTTGCAGTAGGTACCATAATGTACTTAAAAATTTGGTGTAAAATTTGGTACCTCTTGGTACTCCTCATAATACCTAAGTACCCAGAGGTACCAAATTTACAATAGAAAAAATGGTACCTCCTCAAGGACCATAAAATTGCTCATAAAAGAATGTTGTCAGGTCATTTTTAACAACTGTCAGTCGTTTGTGAATGTGTTCTGAAAATGTTTGGGGGATAACTAGAATGAAAATCAATTTTGAGTTACTCGACAGAACTTTGCAGTAGATAGATGCCACCCAATTATGGTCATAATGTGTTCACTAAAAATGTGCAACTCTCTTGCCTATGTGCTAAAAAATTATGGTCACATGACATCGCGCCAAAAGGTTTGGTTATATTGCTCAATACCAAACAGCCTTGAAGAGATAATTTTTCTCGTACATTTTGAGAGAAAGTAATGTAATGCTTCTGAGGCATTCCAATAAATTCTTGAATCATGTGCCACCAAGAATTTTGTTTTTAAGGCTAACCGACTGTCTGAATAAAGGGAAGGTGCCTTTTACAACAAACTAAATGCAAGAACAGATGTATTTGCATCCAGCCAGAGATGATTATAATTGAAATCCTATTATACATACTGCATATGCAGCAGTCGAACTGCAGTACTCTATAACAGCAATGTGTGGAACTGGTATCAAGCAGTCTCTCTTTCATGTACAAACAAAAAGCTTCACGCCCCAAAATGATTCTTTTCAAAGTATTAGTGGTAGTTGCCACATCTAGCTCGTTCATGCTCCAGCCAATTCAAGTTGTCAATGCATTTGGAAGAGAAGAGTGTGTGCCGAGCACCTTGCCACCGACATCCGGGAAGCACTCGTACCCATGCACCGGACCAACCCTACCATCCCGTTCAACATTGATGGGGTACCTCATGAGGTGCCCCCGCATGTTCACCATCTCCGGTGATACGTAGCGCGCCCAGTTCTCTTCTGCCATTTCATTCACCTGCCGGACGCACTCCACGGAATGAGGCCAACGGAAGCACTCCTCCACTGTACCCAGGTGCTCCGCCCACAGCGACATCCTGTACCCGTACACCTGAAAAATGAACAGTTTTGAAGTGCGAGGTTACAAGCTGGAGCAGCAGGTAATTAAATATTGAAGTCTTTTAAAAATGGTCTTTAATGGTGGTAGAATTAATCAAAACCATGCATCATTTCCAATCCAATGGATCATATCTATTTATATATTCCTTCCGTCCCATAATATAAGGGATCATTCCATTTTGGGTAAGATTAAGAATAGAATAAAAAGACTAGAATACCCCTATTAAATGTGATTTTGGTTGTGGGTAGGTATTCTATTAAATGTGATTTTGGTTGTGGGTAGGTAGTTGGAGGTTAAAATAGGTAGAAATTTGAATTGGAGTTGATGGATGTGAGCATACCAAAATCCCTTATATTGTGGGACGAGTAGAAGGGGTAAAATCCCTTATACTATGGTACGGAGCGAGTACTACCACTACCACCTCAACTATTAGTAGTAGATTTTTTTTCTAATGATAGTAAAACTAATAAATCAATGATTCAAAACTTGATATCACTACTACTAGTTGTTTTTTTATGCAAAAGTTACAGACTCTACCTTTTAACCATTGTATTAATTGTGGGTGAAGAACATATAAAGCCAAAAGGGGCCGAGACTAGAATGATAGGAAGGAGGTGAAACAAAACAGAAGAGGAAGACAAAAGAAATAATACTGGTGGTAATACTAATACTGGTGATCATACTACTAATAGTGATAATACAGGCAGTAGAATACTACCAATAGAGATCACTATAAAGGTGCTTGTAGGTATTATGTAAAGGTTTAATTGGTGAGGAAAATGAACAGTAGCATGCCTGTCCTCGTGGAGCTTTCTTGCGTCCTGCCCAGCTGTAGTGAGGCTGGTAGGCGCCCATAGCGATCTCGGTGTCCCTTGAGCCATCCATGGACCTCTGATTTATGTTGGCTGATCCTATGAGCACATACTCATCATCGACAATCATCCCCTTGGAGTGCACGTAGATCATGAATCGCTTGAACTTTTGGACCAGGCGCTAGAGAGTAAAAGAAAGGAATTACTTTCTCCGTTTCATAATGCAAGACTTTCTAGTATTGCCCACATTCATATAGATGTTAATGAATCTAGGCATATATATGTGTCTAGATTCATTAACATCTATATGAATATAGACAATGCTAGAAAGTCTTACGATATGAAACGGAGGGAGTAATTGTTTATTTTCCAGCAAAGCACATCGAATGTGCTTAGCTTGATATGCTTATCGGAGAAAGAAGAAAATATTACTACCTGTGGGGAATTCTCATTGGATTGGCTTGTTGTAGATACGTCATTTGAGACTTCACGCTTACCAAGACAGTAGAAGTTAAGGTAATCCTGTGGATGCGTATCATCTAACCCCTCCTTCTGTAGTGCTTCTGCGACAATCTTGTACATCATGGACATTGTTTGTCCCTAGATGAGATTAAACAGAAGCAGCAAAACATAAGGTAGAATGCATAATCAATCATGATTCATTCAATATCTTAAAATCAAAATGTGTGATGCATTTCCCAAAATATCTCAAGATGAAGCCATGATATATAATGATGTGGAACAAACCTGCCAAAAGAGGATCTCCTGCATAGCAGCAGTTGTTGGATTACCCTCGGGCCACATTGGTATAACAATGTAAGCTGCAAATCTTTCCCTAGCTTTAATCTTTCTTGCAATCTTTATGGCCAATTCGATCGGTATCAAATTCTCTGCACCTGTAAATACAAGATTATTCAAAAGCGGGATTCATGGTTGTATCCACGATTTAAGGAATAAATCACATGCTAGATACTAACGAGGTAGCTTTCTTTAATCTTTATCACCTGTTTCCAGCTATAGTCATGTTTGTTTTTCATTTCTCATTGCCCAGTAATTGCTACAGTAGATATGAAAAATAAACCAAGTTTCCAGTATGGAAATCAGGAGCATGCTTTACTACAAAATCCAAATGCATGTTCTAGTGTACAAGGTATTGTGAGGCAAATATAAAGTTTGTTTTATATGGGAGGCAGTGCACATAGCAATAAGAAAAGAAAACAATAGCATGGCTGATAGTCAACTTGTTACCTGCACTTCTATTTGAAGACCAGTAGTATGAAGATCCAATAAAATATTGATTTTCAATGTAGATATAGTGTTGTGCAGATCTGATAGCTTTCACATATGCATTATGTATGCTCTTGTCTATCTGCAGATTTTTCGCGCAGACAAGATTCTGCACAAATACAATCACCTCATTGCTAGGAGCCAAGGACACACCTTTTGATAGAAAACTTACATTTTTAATGTTGAAAGAAATCCCAGGAAGTTCACATGTAAAATTGTAATGCATTGTTATTTTGAACCTGGGAAACAGGCAGTACCTGTGACTCAGCCTCCTGAACAAGTTTAGGGAACCCTTTTACTGATCCTGAATCAATGGACCGGAATATCTAGTGACGAGTAAAGTAAAGAACAATTTATTAGACTAAAATTGACGTAGTAATTGCAAGGAGATGGTAGATATTTGATGATTGGATAAATTGTAGTACCTGTACATGCCAGTTTTCTGGATCATCTTGTTCACAAACACGTGCATTTAACTCATCTGCAGAGGGGGAGACAATCCACGACATCCGGTTTATTTTTACCAAGGTATCATGGTGCCAACTTACAGCTCTTCTAACGCTGACTTTCCATTTTGCAGATTTTCTCCATCTCTGTTCAAAGTTTGTAAGTATATCATAGGCAGCTGGACCCTCAATCTTGCAATGTAAATCATGCCATGGTTGTCTAGGCCCAGACTTATTAACCTGCGAATGAAAGAATGATGTTCTAAATTTTAGCAGGTTCATGTCTCATTTATAGTTTTAGAAAGGAAAAAAGCCTTCACTTTCTGCCCCTAAACTAAAAAATAGTCCACAAGGAGAAACCACAATAGTGCAGAACTGCAGATAGTATGACTGTATGATCATGATGTGTCCTTGAGCACTCAGAAGAGGTGTTGGTTTTTATGGAAAATACTATAGTTGATGGGAATTGTGAGGTTAGCTCTGGCCAGGGTGATATTTGGCCCAACGTTAGAAGTTTGGGATGAGACGATTCTTGAGTTCAAGGTTTAAATGGACTTTGCCCACAGTTAAAGGGCCGATGGTGGACATTCCCCTTTAGAAATAATGTAGGAGAATCTCTAGAAGGAAAACTACAGTGTTAGAGAATTTACTTGGAATGTGGGATTATGGAAATCATCCTTGAAGACGGTGTCAAGATCCTTGAAGAGCCTGTGTTCAGGTGTATCATATCTGCCATCACATAAGTCTAGGCCACCAATAAAAGCAGTTATTTTTCTATTGTTCCCTATGACTTGGGTGTCAACAATGACACATTTCTGATGGTGCGTAAACAAAGTTCCTACAACCTGGAAAAGAAAATTTGGTGAGATGCAGTACATTAAGCAACTAAGCATTGTTAGAAACTTAGTTGCATCCATGAAAGCTTTATTAACCAGTAACTTCATTGTAATTATTGTTCACTGCATCAAATTCAACGGATAGAATGTATTAGAAGTACAAATGCAGCATGCTCTTATATAAGTCAATAGTTCACCTGGACTTTTCCAGACAATCAGAAATATGAGGAGAATTGCTAATTTATTCGACAGAAGTTTAATGAAGAGCATGGCAGTTGGCATAAGGGGTAGTAATAGGCTTTAATGTTTACAACACACCTAAAATTAGGTTTTTCTCCTAATATAAATATTTCTGAATTATAAATAACACTAGCAATTTTTTTTCAAGTAATTTACAAATGAAAAATTACTAATTATCTCCTTTCAATATCAAATAAGAAAAGAAGAACATCATTATACATGAAAGGAATATTTTGCATCATTTTCGGTCAAAAAAAGGAATATTACATCATGTGCATGAATTAAATTCATTAGAATCTTGTCAAGTATGACAGCAAACATTCTCTATGTATAGGCATGTACACATTTTTAAGTTTCCAAAAGATGATACTTAAGAAGCTAGGAGATATAGACAAGGAGCAAAAATCAAGAGAACAAGAACGATTACTCAATCTATACTTTCTATATAGTTGGTACCCACTAACTCCTAAAGCTCAAGATGCAAGTGTGCCACATCATCACCCACTAGCAATTATTATCTAGAGTATTTTAGATCTCTCGCAAACATGATATATCATTTGTAATTTAGTTGTATTTTTAGAACTTAGCACGTAAGCAATGTCAAATCACCATCTTCACATGATTTAAACATATACGTCTATCATTTTTGTAATGTATAACATACATTCATCCACATATCCCGTAGCAAAGCATGGGGTATCAACTAGTATGTACTCTCTCCGTTCGTGGATATAAGGGATTTTGACTTTTTGCTTGCACCATTTGACCATTCGTCTTATTCAAAAAATTTTGGAATTATTATTATTTTTATTTGTGACTTACTTTATTATCCAAAGTACTTTAAGCACAACTTTTTGTTTTTTATATTTACACAAATTTTTTGAATAAGACGAGTGGTCAAACCGTTACACGTGAATAGTGAAAATCCCTTATATTCTCGGACAGAGGGAGTATAAATAAGTATAACTGTTCTGCCACCAAAATGGAAGGGAGCAAATAACATCCCACCTGTTGCTTAAAAATGCTAAGTTTGTTGCTAGCGTAGCGAGGAGCCAACACACAATGGACACCAGAATGCCTGAAAAACTTCCGAGCTTCCTCGTCATGTGTATGCATGAGTCCATCCTGCATTCAACCTACATCATTTCCATCAGACTACTCTTTCCTAAAGAAAACAGCATTCAAACAAATGCATTTGCAGTAAGAATTTTGTTCATCAAGATTTATCTCATAAACAATTTTATATAAGTTGAGCTACAATAACAACCGAAACATAAAGGAGTACTTTGGATATTTAGCTTCTCAGCAGTCCTACCAAAGCTCCCATGACACCAGTACCAAGAGGGAAGATATTACCTACCATTTATTTTTCCCACCCTTTTCAGTTTATATTTTCAGCACTCACCACCTTTTTATTATTAATGTAGTAGCATGTAGAGATATTAGATAAGCACTTTTAGCTTTATAATCATTGTCCCTTTGTCAAAAGCATGTATTCTACTAGCATAATAACCAAAAATGGAAGGTCACAACACTTCAAAACGCAGAGTAAATTTCATATATAGCCATTTTCATAGCATGAGGAAATCAAGATGATAAAGGGGTAAAATAGATAATTCGGAATGCAGCCTACCGTTTTCAAGAGAAATTTGTCATGTGATGTTTTGTCATCCCAAAGTAACACAATAACACGGACCCCCTCCTGAACCTTGGTTTTCAAAAGCCCCCCAAGGGTTGGTGGGCTTCCATTGGGCACAGGTTTTGTTGATTCCCTTACCAGCTTGACAGGGTGATACAACGACCAACCAATTATATAAATAAGGTGATGAGCCTCAGCAATTGCATGGCAAATGTCTTCCCAACATTTATTTTGTTCGTATACTCTTCCACCATCAATTTCAATTTTAGGACAAAAGTCATCAGGAATATGGGCATCTTGATATAGAGTGACCATACCACCCTTTCGAAGAGGAAAATAAGCATTTGGCACACCAATACTCTGACAACCGTCAGAACCAACTCCATCTTTGTACAATGGATTCTGCTCAATTGGCTTGTACTGGATAGACAAATGAAGTTCAGGAGATGCCTTCATAGGATTACTATACTGACCAGATATTGGAAACCAACCACTGACGGTATCACCTGGTGTGATGTTTTCAACTGGTACTGAAGCCACGCCTATAAGTTCTGCTCCAAAAACATCATTGTCTTTTACGTGAAACTCAACTCTGCTAACAGAATGGGCAACCTGAACATAAAAATGTTCATCCCATTTAGGATTCTCTGAGTTTGCAATGACTCGAGTTTGTGCCACTGTTGCTCCTGAGAGGCAAACCGAAACATATGGATCACTAGTAATGATCTTCCTCACGTCTGTATGTGGATCAGACTTCCCACACTCAGTACTACAAGCGCCGTAGCCAGTGAAGCATTTTCGCATCCTTTCAGTCATAAGATCCATATTGGGAAGACATTTTGCTTCCACTATCTGTATGTCCAAATCTCCATGCAAGAGCATACTAGTACCTGATTCAGCTGAGTGTTTCCCCATTGTACTGATTTATGATGATAAAATCCACCAAATAATAAAGTAAACCAGAAGCTAAACCACCATTATCCTGGAGAACACATCCTTTGCCAGGCAAATCACAATGTAGGGTGCTGCAGAATGATACCTGGAGAATATGACAAGAACTGTAAAATATGAGTCCGTAATAGCATGAGAAATAATCATATACGAGATCTATAATTTGTACCACAAAGACCTTGAACCCATAATAGGGACATTGTACCTGATTCTAGTTGTATGTTTTTTAATCAAATTCTTGACTGGAGATCAAAGCAGACCTCCTCGCTGAGTCGGGAACATATGCATTTGCTGCTGGATCAAAAAGTGAAGACGATTCCCCAGGCTTCACCTGACAGCAGAGCTCTCTTCCCCATCCACTTTATTCTGTATGTCTAAGCCTCTCAACTTCACATTGGCTTCCAACTCCAACTTGCAGATGAAAACCTTATACAAGTCCTGTTCTGTATGACATCCATACATTAGTAGGAAGAATCTGGTTATAAAATGTCAGGAAGCAAAAGCACACATACAATATATTTAGCCTCCTCCGGTGAGGAGCATAGGCTGGGGAGAAGGCTGTTGTACCGCCAGATCTGCAGACCAGAAAAAAAAGAGATGAAGATGGAGAGAGTAGAGGCGAGGGATGATGAAAGAGAGAGATGGAAAGCGCAAGGGGCATTTTGTTCATTTGCCATTTTCTCAACCTTTTATCTTTACTATTAATAAACAACAGAGTGTTGGTTGTGGTCCATTCACCTCTCCACCACTAATAACCGTAGCAAGCCAACCTCCCGGTTTTCTTGGTTGTTCGCTGACGTTGTGTAAAAATAGCTGATTTACTAACAATTGATTAAGGCTAGTCACCCTTTACATTTGAATCAGATCAATACCCCTTTAATTTTTCATCAAACCCATGCATGATAATGCTGCAGCTCTAGGCAACATCATAGACTCCAATCCGAGTATTATTACTTCTCAATTTGCAGAAGAATTTGAAAAAAAAAAACACTTCAATAGCTAAATCCAAAGAAAGATGGAAATTAAGTGGTCCAAAATGCAATTCTTCTGATCTAACTGATATCAAAATATTCCAGAGGGTTTATGACGCCAACATCCCCACAATTTGGAAGGGGGAAAATAGGGAAAATGAGGAAATATGGATGCTGAATGTTTGATCAAACAACATGGAAGGTGGATGCGATCTGCCAAAACAGGATGGTATAAAAGCAATTGGACCCCTGACGACTTCTTTTGTACCTATGGAGGCCAGAAGGCTACTAGCTATTGAAGCAGATCTATTGTGTTATGTAACTCTTTCTCCAATAAACTCAATTTTCCTTCAAATAGTTTATCTGCCAGGTTTAATGCTCTGGCTTCCTATGTGCAGAGAATACAGCATGCATGAAGTCGTACAACACTTGACAGCAATTGGCACCCTTTGAGACAATGCAAAATAGACTTGACAAATTATAAAATACAATACTGCTAGAAAAATATATTATAGCGTGGTGAGATGTAGACTGTTTACCATTTTCTTGAGCAATGAAAGCTTGCTACTCCACATTCCATAGTCAATTTATCAAAAGCACATAAAAGATTCATCAAATTCTTTTCTTGAACAAAAACAATAGCCTAAGCTACATCAAGAACCCTCACAAAAAATGGTTGAGCATGAATTAACCGGTCCCTAGAGGTAAACAAATCCTCTAACGTCTTCTGGTAGCAATAAACAAGAGATAACATATACGATTATCTTTTAAAAAAATTAACACGCTCTAATCGTCACAATGCATCAGTAATAACAGAAGAATCTCCAATCTCATATCTCCAAGGCTAACCACTACAATCCATGGATACAAACCAATGACGCAAGTTGGCCTGCCCGTAAACTAATCTACATCATCTCTAACCCAACACAGGAGTAAGAAGTAACATCAAATCAAATCCAATGCGAAAGCAATGCAGCACATCGGGGACGGGTTAAAATTAAGAAATGGGGGGGGGGGGGGGGGTAAAAATTTGGGGGCTAGGGTTCTTACAGAAGCGGAGTAATAACTAATAACCCGCGCGATGTTCTTCCTCTCATACCCCATCGACCCATCCATGGCGCGCGGAGGGAGGAGAGCTCGCGGCCTCGGCGGAGCACGACGGTGCACCAGCGTGGCGTGCGGCGGCGAGGAGGCAGCGCTCCGGGTAAGCTCGGCGATTCGTAGGTGGGCCCGGTTTGGGCCTAGTCCACTGCGGCCCAGATGGTAGTTGTCGACAATGGTGGTCTTGGCTCGCAAAGCTGGACCGGGACGGTTGCATGTACGGATCGGCCCAGCCCATCCCCGCGCGCCTTTTTTTTCATACTTTTTTTTCCGATTTTGGCGCCTTCGGACTCTTTTTTTTTTTCCGTTTCTTTCTGATTTTTTTTTCAATCTTTCGCACACCTCTTTACAAATGTAGATTTGTAAGTTTTTAATCTTGACTTGAAAGTTTTCAAATTTGAGTTGAAAGTTTTTAAATCTGGGTTGAAAGTTTTCAAATCTGGGTTAAAAGTTTTAAATTTGAGTTGAAAATTTTTCCAATTTGACATGAAAAGTTGAAAGTTTTTCAAATTTGAGATGAGAAGTTGAAAGTTTTCAAATCTGGGTTGAAAGTTTCCAAATTTGGGGGGAAAGTTTTCAAATTTTGACTTCACGTATAGATTTATTTTCAACCTGTTACTTAAAAAATTCTTCAGAAAAAAACATAAATCTTACCTTAATTATCGTCATTATCTAACACTAACCGGATTAGTTAGTTTAGATGAACGCGTCTCCGGAAAGAAAATTCTGGAAAAAAAAGAAAAGCTCATGGGACGCAGATCCACACGGTGACGAGGGCCTGCCACGTGGCACGTGCGTGACTTAGAGAAGTCGCGCGTACGCGCTAATTATCAAAACCGATGTCATAGAGGCACGGCCCCATTTTTCCGTTTAGGTGTAAGTCCACTTTAACTCCCTCACGTACTGCTCCAATCTTACCCCTTAACTGCAACACCAGATATATTGTAATTTGACTTCCTCAACGGTTTTGAGAGCGGTTTTTTGCTGACGTGGCTTGTTGGCTTGGTCAACCCTTGCTGACGTGGCAACCCAGTCACAACGTAGAAGTGGGCCAAATGTAAGTGACTAGAGAGAAAAAAATACTGTGGCCCACTTGTCATACTCACTTCCTCTCTGTCTCTCTTCCTACCTTCTCCCCCATCAGCAGTGGTGAGGAAGGAGCGGTGGCAGTGGCCTGAGGCGGCGGGCGGCGGTGGTAACCATCGATGCCGGACAGGGGTTGTACTGTCTTAGCAGTTAAATTGCACCGGTTTGAATAGCTAGGGCTAAGATATTAGTATTCTGGTTGAGAGATACGAATTAGATTGGAGAGAGAGTCAAAGTGGACTTATTTTGCTTATGCATATGTTAATCCGAACCGCATATTAACAACAAAAAAGAAATTTATGGGTAAGACTTGTATATACATGTTTCTAGTGTCCGATGTGTAAAATAAACTTCGATAAAAAAACTACAAAATCAAAAAAATTAAGTTTTAAATTTAAAATTCGGCTAGCATAAGCGATACTATGGGGCTATGCATTTATTGCAGTTGACTCAAAATTCTGTATGCTGCTGTTGACTTGGCATTTTGCAAACGGCGATGCAACATTTCTCTGTTTTTCTTTTTCGAAAACACTTATCCATTTTTTCCCTCTCCGATTTATCAAAGGACGAAACTCTTCGTTATAGCAAAGCAACAGAACACATGAAAATAATAGATAGAGAGAAGAATATGCGGTATATATAGTTATGAATATTCCGACGAAGCTGTATTTCGTTCACTTGTATAAATAGGTCATATTTTTGCTGTTTGACACTTTGTGATGTTCTCAATAAAATGGTACTTCCTCATATAAAATATTGAATGCAGCTAACTTAAACTAATTGTCACTAGTACAGATCCGGCCCTCTGTGACGAGCGAACATATGCCTAGACTTCTTGGGCCGTCAGAACGAAGTTATCTCAATCAGGCTTAAAAATACTCCGTTGTAAATGTACTCGTACAGACATAATCGGGGCCCAAGTACATATAGCCCGTCACCGATGACACTCATCTGTGACGGGCTCAGAGTTAGGCCCGATTGAGATGACCTCCACTATCTCAATCGGGCCCTGATACTGAGCCCGTCACAGATGAGTGTCATCGGTGACGGGCTCCAAAAAAAGGCCCGATTGAGATGGCCTTAATGCTCGTCACCGATGACTCTTATCGGTGTCGGGCTTTTATTTATGCCCGTTAGAGATGACTGTCCGCCCGTTAGAGATGTCGTATCTTTGGCCCGATTGAGATATATTTTGCACACTATAAATAGTCCACCCGACTGTTGTCTGAAGTTATCCCACTGTTCACTATTTTGGTGGGAGATTGAAGGAGGTGAATTTTTGACATTTTTTTTCCAAAGAAGAACAGGAAAAATCATAAAAGTAAGTAAAAAGGTATTGATAATTTCTTATTAATTGAGTAGTATGTTAACTAATATTTTATTCATTTTTCAGCGATGGATCGAAGTTGGATGTACATGACTGGCTTGATGCGTCAGTACAAGGAGTATAAAGATGGCATATTAAGTTTTATGAAAGCCGCGGAGGAGGATAGGATAAGAAGAAACGACAAGTGCATGTGTTGTCCATGTAGTGATTGCAGGAATGAGATTTTGTGGGAAGATGAAAGGAAGTACACGCTCACTTGATATGCCGGGGATTCATGGAGAGTTACACATGTTGGGTGAAGTATGGAGAGCAAGATTCGGATACTGATGGTGCAACTGTAGATGGAAATGGTGCAGACAATCATGAAGAAGGAGATGAAGAAGAGCATGACATGTTTGTCCCATCTCTATTGGGCGGTGAAATGGTTGATGTGGACCCTGATCTGCTGCAAGACATGTTACGTGACGCTGATGACCCAGCTATGAACGAGAGAGATTCCATGAAGTTCAGCAGGTTGGTCAGTGACTTGGAGACTCCTCTATACGCCGGATGCAAGCCAAAGCACACCAAATTGTCAGCAACATTAGACCTAATGAAGTTGAAGGCTAGTAGTGGATGGACAGACAAGAGTTTTATAGAACTTTTGGGAATACTGAAGGACATGCTTTCTCAGGAGAACACATTGCCCGAGACGACATATGAAGCAAAACAGGTTATGCGTCCCCTAGGGTTAGAGCTCCAGAGAATTCACGCATGTCCAAACGACTACATATTGTACCACAAGCAATACGTGGACTTAGATGCTTGTCCTGTCTACAAGGCTTCTCGATACAAGCGAAAGAAGAGCGCGGGGAAGGGAAAGAATTCAAAGCGGGGTGGTCCGACGAAGGTTGTATGGTATCTACCAATCATTGATCGTTTCAAGAGAATATTTGCCAACCCCAACGAAGCAAAGTTAGTACGTTGGCATGCCACAGAGAGAAGGAATGACGGTTTGCTAAGACACCCTGCGGATTCGATTCAATGGAGGAATATCGATCGAAAGCACAAAGACTTTGCTACCGACCCCAGAAACATGAGGATATGTTTGTGTACGGATGGCATGAATCCTTTCGGAGACATGAGCAGTTCTCACAACACTTGGCCAGTTCTTATTGCGAACTATAACCTCCCGTTATGGTTGTGCTTCAAAAGAAAATATATTATGTTGTACTTGTTAATCCATGGTCCAAGACAACCCGGCAATGATATCGATGACCTTGAAATTCTGTGGAAAGAGGGTGTGGAAACTTGGGATGCATATGGTCAGGATAACTTCACGCTACGAGTTCTATTGTTCTGCACCATTAATGTCCCGCACTGGGTAATATTTCTGGACAAATCGTGAAAGGAAAGAAGGCATGCTCTGACTGTATGGAACATACACGTAGTAGGTGGCTGAAGAAATCAAGAAATATGGTTTACATGGGTCATAGGAGATGACTCCCCCTATGGCATGCCTTTAGAAGAAAGAAGAAAATTTTCAATGGTAAGAAAGAACTTGGGTCTGCCCCTGAGGATTTGTTCGGAGATCAGGTATACAACATGGTGAAGGACATTACTAATGAGTTTGGGAAGAAAAGAAAACATAGCAATGAGGACAAGAAGAGGATGTGGAAAAAAATCCATATTTTGGCGGCTACCTTATTGGAAAGAT